CCCCGAGAGTTTCTTTCCCCGTCGTTAGTAAGAGGATGGGGCAGCGCGGGTCACACAGGGAGGCCTGGGGTTCCCGGGGGCACGCAGACATGGATCTGGGAGGAGACCTCGTATTTCTCGGGGAGCAGAGCGGGCCCTCTGCCCCTGCAGCCTCTTCTCTGGCAGCTCCACACGGATTGTGCCGCAGCTTGGCCTCCGGGACGGCGTGCCCTCGTGGGACAGTGAGTGCCTGTCGCAAAGCCGCTGGGAGCTGCTCCAGGCCCCCCGAGGCCTGCCCTCCCCCCCCACATCGGGCCACAGGAGCCCAGCTTTGATCTGCTCTTTAGCACAAGCTGCTTGTCTGAGAACCTGTGCGAACAGCCAGCCCCACATTCGAGAGGCGCCCTGGCATGTGGTGGGGGGTCCCCGTGAATTAACATCCCCTGAAGCTCCTCTTTTGAGGGGTTCTTACTGTTCTGAGTTGCCGCATTCGGTGAGGCCGCTTGACTCCCACGAGGGAGTGAGCGGACGGCCACGGAGTGGCTCAGGCGTCCCTCAGCAGGAGCCGGGTTGGGACCATTGTCCAGGCTCGGGGGGGCCGGAGGGGGGCCCGTTCCTTCTTACCGCCACCTTCTTTGTCACGACGTTTCCTTCCAAACCCTGTTTCTCTGTTGAGCTCTGAGTTGGTATTTCGTAGACGGTTAAGAAATTATTAACCATTTTGAAATTTAAAAATTTTAAATGTACTTGCAAAGAGGACCTTTGGTGTTAGAGAGCAGAGCCCTTAAGAAATGCATCCCCGCGGTGACGCTTCGTGGCCGTGGCCCAGGGATCGGGCTGTGGGTGGGGCTGCCGGGACAGCGAGTGGGGGACGTGGACACCTCCCCAGCGGGAGCCTGGCGGCCCAGCGTCTCTAACAGGCCTGCACGCTTGCTCTCCCAGCGTGTCACATTCTGGAGTGCTGCGACGGGCTGGCCCAGGATGTCATCGGCTCCATCGGACAGGCCTTTGAACTCCGGTTTAAGCAGTATTTGCAGTGTCCTTCCAAGGTCCCCGCTTTCCATGACCGGTGAGTAGCGCTGTGACCCCCTGTGCGCGGGCCTTCCCGCGTTCCATGGGCTATCGTCTGAGAATGTCTCAAAGGAGAAACCACGAGACGGCCTCCGAGAAGTGTGGTCTGGACAGACGTGGTCGGTCACGGGGCTCCTGGCTCGGAAGCATCTGGCGGGTCTGGGCCGGGGCTTGGGAGACCCACTGTCGGAAGGAAGCCCACGGATGGCTGAGGCCCCGAACGTTGGGGAAAACATTTTCTAGAAACTGTAGAGACGGTAGCCAAGGTCACGAAAACGCACTGTAATTCCTTCCTGCCGTGTCCTCTGCAACCAGGTGAGATTTCCACGCGTCGCCTCTGTGAGTCCTCTTCTCACAGGTGGGATATGTCCCCCGTCCGTGCCACCGTGGTCAGCGCGGTCCTAACTCTGGGCCCTTCCGTGAAGCCCTGAGCTGGGTGGCATGAGGACCCAAAGCCTCCCGTGGCCCTGGGCACGCCCGCCCCTTGGCCAGGATGAGTCAGCAGCATTCTCTGTAAAAAGGGAACAGCATTCTCGCTTTTTTTAAAAAAAAAATTTAAATTTTTATTTACTTATTTTGACAGAGAGAAAGAAGAGGGAGGGGCAGAGAGAGAGAGAGAGAGAGAGAGGCACAGAATCCCAAGCAGCCACTGCACTGTCGGTGCAGAGCTCAACACAGGGCTCGAACTCACAAACCATGAGATCATGACCTAAGCTGAAGTTGAATGCTTAACCGACTGAGCTACCCGATGGACGGTTGTTGTTTTACGTGTTCGGTGAAATAGTTCATACAAATACGAATTGTGAAACAACCTTCAGGATCTAGTATTGAGTTTCCTTCAGACATAAGAATGTTCCATGCAGCATAAAGCGTTAAAAGAAAGCCATGTGGGGGCGTATCAATAGTCTGTCCTTGATCGGACTTGCATAATGAAAGCGTCTTCTAAAGGTGTGTTCACTGCAAACAAACCTTTATTTCTCCAAAATTTGCTTTTTCACTGTTGCTCTAACGTCTGCAGCCCCTTTCTGTGACTCAGGCACGAAGGCTCTTTTACTTCCACCCCGTGCTCACACGAGCCTGCGTTCACACCTCTGAGCTCTGCCCCTTCCTGACTGGGTCATTCTCATTTTCTCACCTACTGGGAAGTGGCCTTTTTTTTTTTTTTTTTTAGGTTGTTTTTGGTGGGGAGGGGCAGAGACAGAGGGAGAGAGAGAAATCCCAGTGAACTCATGCCCAGGGACAGCCTGACATGGGGCTCGATCTCATGATCGTGAGATCATGACCTGAAACCAAAAAATATTAATATAATGTCGAGGATAACCTTAACCATTACCAGAGCACCCAAACTAGGGAAGTGCTTTAAAAGGCGATTCGAGCGCCTGGGTGGCACTGTCCGACGTCGATATCAACTTTCAGAGTCACGATCTACCGCTTGTACGGTCGTGGAGTTCGAGCCCGGCGATAGAGACTCTGGGCTGATGGCTGCCGAGCCTGAGCCTGTTTCCGATTCTGTGTCTCCCTCTCTCTGCCCCTCCCCGTTCATGCTCTGTCTATGTCCCAAAAATAAATAAGCGTTGAAAAAAAAAAATAAAAATAAAGCTGATTCATTTGGGAGGTGCCTGTGAGGTTACTTTTCCCGTTGTCAAGCTTCCCTGCACTCAGGCGGGCTGTGTGTGTGGAAAGAGCAGTTAAAGTGTCAGTTCCTACCCCATATACACACCACTATCCATAAACTGTATACTGTGTATAAAATTTTAAAGTTACTTTCGTTCTCCTTTCAATTTTTTTTGTGTAATGGACCTGCTTTAAAAAAAAAAGTAGACCGGTACATCTGTGCTCCCGGAATAAACCTCAAAAAATCTGAAGTGCGGCAGTGAAAAGGAAGGATATGAAACACGAAACTTTAAAACCAAACAAACAACATAGGCGTAGTTTACAGATACACGCACGTGTACGACGCGTGTATAACACGTCAGGATATCCCACACCAACTCTGGAGTATCCGGGGACCGAAGAGGCGGCGGTGGGTGGGATTTAACTATCGTGGTGGAGTGTGTAGTCTGCTCCCTGACATTTCACTTTAATAATGTTCAACAGTCGGTGAGCCTACACACACCTACCATGCCACTGAATTTTACTGCTAATATGATGAATCTGTACCGTGATGAGTTTTATTTCTTCAAAAAAAAAAAAAAGTGGGGCTCCTGGGTGGCTCAGTCCAGTTAAGGCTCCGACTTTGTCGGTCTATAATGACCTCAAATAGTTCAGGGGTTGAGAGCACTGTGTGGGGCGCTCTGTCAACTCAGAGCCTGGAGCCTGTTCTGTGCTCCGGCTCTCTGCCCTCCCATTCGTGCTCTTTCTCTCTCCCCATAAACTTAAAAAAATTTTTTTTTTTTAAGCAGAGGCATACGGGTGGCTCAGCGTCCGACCATTTCAGGTCATACTGATCTCACAGCTACTCGTCCAGTTTGAGCCCACGCATCATGAGCTCTGTGCTGACAACTCAGAACCTGGAACCTATAACTACGATTCTGTGTCTCCCCTCTCTCTGCTCACTCCCTGCTCACCGCATGTCTCTCTCTCAAAAATAAGTAAAGATTAAAAAAAAAAATTATAAAAAAATTTTTTTTAAAGTGAAAAAACCAACAGAGCAAAATGTTCACTTTGCAATCATGGTGGATCTTTTCATTATCTTTTATATTAATTATTTTGCTTTTCTGTACTTCTGAAATTTACATAAAAGCCAGATAAATCTATAAAAATTATGTGCACAAAAATGGGTGGGGGAGCTCACTGAGTTGCCGTGCTCCTCTGAGAATACACTTAAGGTCAGAATTTTCTGTGTAGTTTTTTATATCATCAAGTTTACTCAAAAGTTTGGGAAAGAAAATGAAGCAGGCAGGATCTTATCTGTTGAGAAGAACTTCAGCTCCAAATGCAGGTATGGACATAAAATTTCTTTAAAAAATATTTTTTTTAACGTGTATTTATTATTAAGAGACAGAGACAGAGCACGAGCAGGGGAGGGGCAGAGATAGAGGAGATGGGAGAATCGAAGCAGGCTCCAGGCATCCAACACAGAGCTGTAACAGGAGCTTTCGGGCCTCCCCTAGGCTCCCACAAGATCATGACCTGAACTAATAGGTGCCTCAACCCATTCGAAGAGAAGAGCCTCCAGTTATTAACATTTTAAACCTCTTCCCTGTTTCAAAGATGAGTGGAATTTTCCAGAAGGTAGGACAGCGATGAAGGCAGAAGTATCTGGCCAGCCCATTCGTCTGCTTTTCATAGCTGAGATCTAGATAGTGAGGAGGCAGTGACTGAACTCTGTTTTCTGGGGTAGCAGGTCCTAACATTAGATTTGTTGGTTTTGACAAAAAAAACTCCACTTTCGGCTAAAGCCCTGGAAAACCCCTCTTCTAACAGAATGCAGAGTCTGGACGAGCCTTGGACCGAAGAGGAGGGGGATGGCTCAGACCATCCGTACTACAACAGCATCCCAAGCAAGGCGCCCCCTCCGGGGGGCTTTGTGGACGTGCGGCTGCAAGCCAGACCCCACGCCCCTGACGCGGCCCAGGTAAGTCCCACACCCCTGCCTGGGTCTGGCCCCTCGAGCACTTCCTTCCATTTTCTTCCACTGTGCTCGCAGGCTGGCATTCTGTCCGGTCTCTGGCGCAATAACGCACCTGCTCTGTCCCCTTGGATTACACACGCAGACACGCAGGGGAGGCTTTTGCTTTAACGTCCTAAGGCGTTAATCACATGTCTGGGAACTAGGCTGTGATTCCGGAGGTGCAAGTCTGGGGGTCTCCTCTCCATCCCCGGGAGAATGCCATTATACTGGGAGCTTCGTGAGGAGACGAAAGAGTTCAGGACTTTTCAAAGGCTCGGGGTGCTTTCTTCCCCCGAGAAGACACTGGGTGCGGGCCCTTAAAATGAGCGTTTTATGAGCCTTCCCTTTTCTTCATTTCCCTGAGTTTTCCTCCAAATCAACACCGTTCCAGTAAGGCGGTTGCTTTTTAGAGTTACCGCGTCTCTATTTGGTGACAGAGAATTTTGTGAGGTCACCCACCTTGTGCAAATAATAATGACACTGACGAAAGTGGCAAAACAACACGGAAATCAAGCGTCCGCAGCTCTGACGTGGAGAGATGGACGGGGCGGACTTGCCCGGGTGTGAATGGCTGAGGGAGGTGCGTTCCGACGTACCTGAGCTTTACCCGAGGGCGCGTCCGGTGACGTGGCCGCGTGTATGGAGGAGAGCCCCATTTTCGGTCACACTTAGGGAGGGCTGGTGGCGTGAAATGAAGACAAGGAGGGGTGCGTGTGGTTTTGATGAGACGCAGCCTCTTCCCCACACCCGTGCAAACGCGTTTCCCGAACCCTAATGCCAACCGCGAGGCAGGAAGGAAAAGGTGGGTGTGATTGGGGATGTGGCGGACCCGCCGTTGGGGTCCCTTCTACTGGGCTGTGGCTTTGGGGGACGGAGAGAGGGGGAGAGGCAGCTTTTCCTCTGGGCATTTACACACGTCTGTAGTTTGCAGGCAAAGAGCAGACGTACTACCAGGGGAGACACCTGGGAGAGCCGTTCGGCGAAGACTGGAGGCAAGCACCTGTCCGGCAAGGTGAGGGGCACGGCCAGGGGGGCGGGAGGAAGACTCGGGAGCACGCGCTCCCGGCGGGGACTTCGTCCGGGGGCTGGCGGCGCACGTGTGTGTCCTGGCGACACTGAGGCCCCGCCCCCCCACCGTCGCGGACACAGGAAGGAGGGCTGCGGGGGCGCGGACACAGGAAGGAGGGCTGCAGGGGCGCCGCGCGTCCTCTGGTGCCTCCCCTTTGTCCCGGCGCTTCCCGTTCGCGTGCACCCTGGACGCGTCCTTGTCCTTCCGGCAGGACGGCCTGCCTACCAGGGGGCTGAGGCGCGGGCCTCCCGACGAGCCCGCACCCGTCCGGGTGGCTGGTGGCTGGGGCTCTCTGACGTGTGTTTAGCGCTGTCCCTCAGCGCTCCAGCGGGGCCGTGCCCCACGACTCCTCACAGGAGCCGGCAGCTTTCCCTTCCTTGCCCGGCCCGTCCAGGGTCGGCTTCGGGAGGGACGGAGCCCACACGCACTAGAGGTGGCGTGGACAAGCAAGTCGCGCGCGGGCCCGGGGCGCTTTCAGGGGCGCTTCCCCATCGTGTCACGTCGACTGACGTGTCCCCACTTGCCACAGTTCGGCCGTGACCAGGAGCTATCAGTAGGCTCCGTACACCCGAGCGTGTCCGTGTGTGTGTTCTACAGGGTTCTTTCGACGTTCAGCTTCTTCCTGAACTCCCTCAGTAGCTCGGGGGTCCTGACCCCTGGCTGCTGACGCCTCAGGGTCTGAAGGAGAAGCAACAATGGGGAATTAAGCTCTGATTTCTGATTAACGCGTCCACGTACGTATGTGTGACCATATTTTGGCTTCATGTCAAGGCCATCCCCGCCGGGGAATAGATGACGATACATTTCTGGAATGTATCTGGAATGGAGGTGAGCTCCGGCCTCACCTGCCTGAGCTAAGGGAGGACCCGTGTGTGGGGCCCTCAGTACAGCGTAAGGCCTGGTGGAGGTGGCCACGCAGCTCCAGCTCCCAGTAGGAAACACGTAGCAAACCAGAGTCCGAGCTGTGCCAGGAGCACCTTTTTTCTATGTTCTTACCTCTGTTCCACAGACATTTAAAAAGTATTTCTAGGGGTGCCCGGGGGGCTCAGTCGGTGGAGCGTCCGACTTCGGCTCGGGTCACGATCTCGCGGCTCGTGGGTTCGAGCCCCGCGTCGGGCTCTGTGCTGACAGCTCGGAGCCTGGAGCCCGCTTTGGATTCTGTGCCTCCCTGTCTCTCTGACCCTAACCCACTCGCATTCTGTCTCTGTCTCTCTCAAAAATAAATAAGCTTTAAAAGAAAATTTAAAAGTATTTCTAGACACGTGTGTGCTTAACCACATTAACAACTGCTAAGGACCAACGGAGACACATTGTTTACAGCAGATGCTGGCTGTTAGTGCAAAGTATGTCAGGTTCACTTGAAAATGAGTCTCTCCTTGTGTGTTCCCATTCCACCCCCTCCCCCCACCCCGGCCAGATCAGGATCAGACAACGTAAGAGACTCCAAGGTAGAAATGCACCTGAGGGTCATATGTCTCAATGAATTTCAAGTTCTTAGTTGAAAGCAATAAATATCTTTTTTCCATCGGGTAAGAATATCCTCTGTTAATTTGCTGGCAGCCGTTGTCCCTTACCAAAAATTAACACTCGGGGACCCCATCGTGGTGTGAATGCCCCCTGTCCCCAGCTCTGCACCTGCCGTGGTCTCGGTGGGAAAGGGCCATCGTCAGGAAAGTTACTTGTTGGGCTTTTGATCTTCTCCTTTTAAAACTTAGTTTGTAAAATCCTTCGTACAGACTGATTTGCTCGCCACGCACATGTGCACGCACACACACACACACACGTGAGCGGCAAGAAGCCGCTATGGAACCAGGACACATAACACGGGAGCGGCCCGTGAAACATGAAGTCATGCTCAGGAACAGGTGTAGACACACGAAGGACTTTTAACAGGACACCTGCGTCCTCTCGCAGCCCAACAACGGGCTCTGGGGAAAGCTTAAGAAGCCCTCTTGCCAACTGGATTGAGCCGCCCATGGGGTGTGAAAGGTGACTTCTCTCCAGAGACAGCGCTGCCAGAGGGCGGTGGTCCTGAGAGTCTGTCTGTGTAAGTGCATCAGAGACAGGGCTCCCGTGGCGACCCGAGCAAGTGGGATCAGGCACCACCGTCACCCCTCGGGCCCCAGACCAGCCTTGGCACTCTCGTGGCACAGCTGAGAAGTCCCGTGGGGGCGCTGCCCCCGGGGGGTGTGGTCCTCCAACACACGCCCACCCTGGGCCTCCTGCGTGGAGCCTGGGGCATGACAGGATGCTTCGTTTTGTAAGGAAGGGGCCGGGCTTCGCGTGGCTAGAATGGAGTTGACTTACGAGGCGTCGGCTTACACCGAAAGGGAGAACGAGGCGATTTAATGAGGCTCATGGTTCTGCTGCTGCTACTTGCTCAGGGGGCTTTGTAAAGGGGACGAGGGACCCAGGCAGCTTCCGCCGTGGCACATCTGCTCTGCTCACCGACCCCGGTCGGGGCCGGAGTCTCGGGCAGGCCCGTGCCGTCAGGGTGTCCATCCTCGGGGGCTGGCATCTTGACATGAAGGCGGGGAAATCGTCCCGGCCAAACACAACAGTGGTGAAAGGGTCAGAAGAGGGGGGATGTAGCCAGTGGGGACCCACAAGAAGAATTAGCTACCAGATAGCCCGTAGGAACGCCTCCGTGAAGTGTTGGGTGGCTTACGGATAGATGCGCAAATGGCCTTCCCCTCGTAAGAGAAAAGAGCGCTGGTTTTCTCGTTGCAGGGTCCTTGGACACCTACAGCCTGCCGGAAGGGAGAGCTCACGCGGGCCCTGGAGAAGCCCCCACCTACGTGAACGCCCAGCACATCCCACCGCAGGCCACACCGGCCTCCGGCAGCAGCGCGGAGAGCAGCCCGCGGAAAGACCTCTTCGACATGAGTGGGTTTCTTTTCGCGTGTGGTTTTCTTGTCTTCCGGGGTTGCTTTCCACTGTCTGAAATCTTTGCCACGACCGTACTTTCTGCTGGCAGGGTTTTGATTAACGGTGATGTGAATTACTGCCCCAGCTGAAAGAGGACCACCAGCGTGTGGTGGCCGGTCAGCACCGCGTAAGGCCCGCAGAAGCCACCGCATGGCCATGGCTCCTCCTCACTTTTCTGGGTTATGGTTGGGCTTTTCAAGGCTTTGCACTTGGCCGACCTCTGCTTTGGGATGACAGCTCTCTCTGAAGTCCAGAGACAAAGCAGTTTCCCCCTCTGTGTGGAACTGAGTTTCCTCTTGAAGATCTGTCTGCACATATCTCGAGATAAATGATACACACAAAAACGTCCTCATTCGTTTATTTACTTAAATGTCAATTGGCCGTTACGTGCCAAATACTGTATCAGTTGCTATGGATGCCAGTGTGAAATGGCTTATCACAGGGCCTGTGGTCTGTTGAAAATGACCAACATAGAAGCAAGAAATGGCGAGACGCCCTCTCGCGTGCACGCACGCATGCACACACTCTCTCCTGTATTCCTGTCCAGTGAGCACCTAGTGTGTGTCTATACTCATCTACTTACTGGGGTCTACAGGAAGACAAAACAGAATCCCTACTCTCCTGGAGCTTGAATAACCCTTGTGCTGTAACCAGTAGCAGTAAGTGCCCTGAAGAAAAACAAACCAGGATGAGGAGTGTGATAGGAAGCTACTTAGCAGCGTAGTAACGTGCGCCCTGGACCTTCTGTTTGTCATGTAGACTGGGACAGCTAAATCATCCGTGAACTGAGTAATGAGAGTGGAAGTCATTGCTAAGGCATTTTGAGAGAGGCTTCTGACTTCACAGAGAGCTTTACATCCCCATGTGGCTTTGGCGGTTCCCTGAGAACTTCACAGGGGAGGAAATGCCTTGATAATTTAACAAGTGCTGGGCATTCGTTGTTCTGTTTAATTTTCGCAACAGTCCTGCAGGTCCCTGCCATTATTATTTTTACCATTCCGTTATTATCACGATTTTACAGAGGAGAAAATGGAGAATCCTAGAGGTTCAGTAACTTTACCACTTGGTCAAGGCAGCCTTACTGGTTTGACGTGTGCTGTTTGTGGTGTTGCATGTGAATGAGGACATGGCGGAGTGCTCCCACGATCAGGTGGCGTCCTGACCACCAGAGTCTGTTTCTCCTCAGCCGCTTTGGTTTCCCAGACAGTGGGTTCCCGTTCTGACCCCATTCTGTGTACAGAAGTCACCACACACAGAAGAACTGTGGAATCTCAGGGCTTAGAGGCACTTTCACCACCATCTAACCAAATCCCATCTCTTAAAAAATGTGGCAATAGCCTCAGAGGTACGAAGCGACTTTCCCAAGATGCAGACCAAAGTGGTAGTTTTGTGAGCCTCTGCTTGCGCTGTAATGGTGTCTCCCAGCTGCAATTTGGTACTTGTATTTATGGTCAGACAGTTTAATCTAGTCAATTTACTAGTGGCTCCTGGCCCCAGAGCCCAAGGGGAGTTAGATAAGGTGTGGGTTTGAGATGGGAAAAATGAGAACCAGAGCCTCCCTTTGGTCATCCATCATTTTCTACACCTGCTTCCAAAACTAGAGAAGGGCATAATGGAAGAAGAAAGGGCCCTGGAGAGGCTAGTTTCTATTGAAAAGTATGGAAAAAAATGAAGCTAGCAGTCTTTGTTTATCTTAAACCACTAGTGTAAAATAATGATGGTGCCATTGGTAAAGATGGTGATAGTTAATGGTGCTCATTGTGATGCTGATGTTGATGGTAGTGGTGATGGAGATGATGGTTGGTGACATGATGATGTTGATGATGATGGTGATGGTGCCTCTCCTGGTGCCTTTGGCAGTGGTGGCAATCGTGATAGTCATGATGGTGATGGTGGTCATGATGGTAATGATGATGATGGTGATGTTGATGATCATGTTGGTGGTGGTGATGGTGATGATGGTGATGGTGATGGTGATGGTGGTGATGATGGTGATGATGGTGATGATGGACGGTGGTGGTGATGATGGTGGTGGTGGTGGTGATGATGATGATGATGTTGATGGTGGTGGTGATGATGGTGGTGGTGGTGGTGGTGCTGGTGATGATGGTGGTGATGGTGATGATGGTGGTGGTGATGATAATGGTGGTGGTGGTTATGATGGTAATGATGATGGTGATGTTGATGGTCATGATGGTGGTGGTGATGGTGGTGGTGGTGGTGATGATGGTGATGGTGATGGTCATGTGGTGGTGGTGATGGTGATGGTGATGATGGTGGTGATGTTGATGGTGGTGATGGTGATGATGGTGGTGATGGTGATGTTGATGGTGGTGGTGATAATGGTTATGTTGATGGTGGTGGTGATGGTGGTGATGGTGATGGTGGTGATGATGATGGTGATGGTGATGGTGATGATGGTGGTGATGTTGATGGTGGTGGTGGTGATGATGGTGGTGGTGGTGATGATGGTGGTGATGGTGATGGTCATGTGGTGGTGGTGATGGTGATGGTCATGTGGTGGTGGTGATGGTGGTGATGGTGATGATTGGTGATGGTGGTGATTATGGTGATGATGGTGATGATGATGATGGTGATGGTGGTGATGTTGATGGTGGTGGTGGTGATGATGGTGGTGATGGTGATGATGGTGGTGATGGTGATGGTGGTGGTGATGGTTAGAGTGCTGATGTGGCAATGGTGATAATGGTGGTGATGATGGTGATGATGAGGTTAATGATGGTGGTGACAATAGTGATGGTCTTGATAGTGATAATGGCGGTGGTGATGGTGCAGAAATGGTATAATACAACTTTCAACTACCCCAGGTAATCAGGAAGAAAAAGGATAAAAACAGAGAATCTAATTTTGGGCAATAGTTTTAACCTGTTTGTATTCTCAGGTCTGTAAATGATTTAACAAGTGTTAAAACACCCCGACTTGGGTTTCATTTATTCACCTCGCTTTTGCCCACCCTCTGCTCATAATCGGTCTTATTCTGCAGCATTTGTTGAATACGTGTAGGGCGCGAACTACGTCCCAGGGACGACGTTGGAGCGTGGGGACGTCGTTGTGCCCAGGAGGGAACTGTTCCTGTCCTTGTGGTGCTTGCACTGTGCTGCTTTGGCCACGTGGTCCCACGTGCTCATCCTCACACCTGACACTTGTGTGGTGCCGTGGGCGTCTTCGGCACCTTCGTACATATGGCCTCATTTTGAGGTTTAATTAGATGTTCCTGGCGACTTCTTGTGCTGCCGTGTCTGTTCCTGTTAGAGCAGCGGACCTACCGTTCACTGACCCCGGGGTGGGAAGTGTGTCCTTGGGGGGCTTGTGGTCATGCCGGGTCTCAGGTGCCCACACAGGAGCTTTTTTCCACAGAGAAACGAGTGAAGGCCAAGGAGAGGTGGGGCTCCTAACCCGGGCCGCGTCACACAAAAGGCACCCAATAAATGTCACTTTTCTTCTCTTTGAAAAATTTACCTTGATGCCAAGGTTTTGAAACAAACGTGTGATGGGCTGGGTATAGGTTTTGCAGTGACTCTAACTTTGCAGATTATCCTTTTCTCTGCGTATTTCCAGGAGCAATGGCAGGTTTCCATTCAGAAGAAAACAGGTTTATTAAGAGGCTAGCCGATGTCCCAGAAAAGGTAGATGGAGGGTGATATGCACAGCCTCTCGCAGCGTGCAAAAGTGGTCATTCTGACCGGCTAGACAGAGGGTGTGCTTGAGTCCTTGGCACGAGGCGCAGCGCCCAGCTGTCTTGGGAACACAGGCTCGTCAGAAAGAGTCGTGCCGGGGTTCGGCCTGTGCCTCCAAACACGGTCAATAGTGCCAGCCAGTCACCTTTCTTTAGGTTTGTTTCTGGTGGAAGTTGCCTCGGCTTTTCCATCGAGATCACATTGTGCATGTTATCATTTGCTCTTCGTGGGGTTGACTTGTTGCTGGCAATTGCTGTTGACAGAACCCTTTGAAGACGCTCTCAGGAACCAGTCCTCGGGGCCTGTGCTGAGCAAGGCGGCCTCCGTGGAGTGCATCAGCCCTGTCACGCCCAGAGCCCCGGATGCCAAGATGCTGGAGGAGCTGGAAGGGGAGCCTTGGTACCAAGGGGAGATGAGCCGGAAGGAGGCCGAGGGGCTGCTGAAGAATGACGGGGACTTCCTGGTCAGGAAGAGCGCCACCAACCCGGGCTCCTTCGTCCTCACGGGCATGCACAACGGCCAGGCCAAGCACCTGCTGCTCGTGGACCCGGAGGGCACGGTGAGCACGGGCGGGACATGACCTGCCTCCTTAGAGCAGTCTCCCCTTGTCCTCTGTGCTGGGTGACCACACTTTCCCTCTGCTGCCTGTGCGCACCTGCTGACGTCCTGGCGGCCACTTCTCGGGGACCCGGCTGCCCAGGCACACAGGCCTGCGCTTGGCTCGCGCTTGGAAACCTCACGAGGGCCCAAGGCGAAAGCTTTAACTCTGACGTCCTTTACAATAAGTACAAAAACAGGGAAGGTTTTCCTGTCCAATCCATTCATAGTGGATGAGGAAGTGCAGGGTTCCTGGGCTTCTAATATTGATCTCCAGTGTCTCCAAGAGTTCCTAGAGTAGAAGACGTGATGAAGCAGTAAACAGACCCCCTCTTAATTAGCTTCACGCTTTCCCACTCGGGGACAGTGTGTGTGGCCGTTCTTGGTGGTACAGTCATGTCTGATGAACCGTGTGGGTCTGACTGAATTTCCTGTCTTCCAGTCAGTAAATAGATTGGACTTGATCTTGGCACAGTCTAAGAACTGCTAAGTTTAATAAACGTAATTACATTAACTGAACCATTAAATAAGTTCCAAGATTGTTGTGTAAAACCTTTTATCCAGTGAAAACACAGAAGCAGGTAGTTATCCGAACAGTAGATTAGAACATGGCCTGTCCTGATCGATGGGTAGGGACGAAGCCTCCGTCTTCGGTTGGACTTGAACGCAGTTTAACCGTGTTTGGTGGGGGAGGGGAGAGTTGTTACGTCACATGATCTGCTGCTCCAGGGCGTCTGCGCCTTGGCTCTCCGGACATCGTCTCCGTGCCCCTCTCCCCTCTCCACCTGGGCAACCCCCTCCCTAGGAACGTAATGTGAATCCTTCCGATCCACGTTCTTCGGTTGTGTGGTTTTTCCCACGGAGGTACATCAGGGGGAGGATACACTGTGTGTTTGTGCATTTCAGGAAGTTGCTAACACGGTCCTGCCCCTCAAATCCCATGTCAAACTCTGCATGTGTTTTTGAGATCTGTCTGTGGTGCTTTCTGTGCACGGGATCGTTGCTTGGCTGGGCGGCCCAGCGGCCCCCATCCACGGCCACACGTCACTTGTGGAACATTCTCATGCAGGGCTGAAGGTGCTACGAAGTCTCCGTGCATTTTCCCTGCGCCCACGATGGTCTTTCTGGGGCACACCCCGGGACCGGGGTTTTGGTCACAGGACATGCGCACACTTGGTTTCGCCAGGGCTGTGCATTTGCTTCCAGAACGGCTAGACTACCAGGGGGCACGGCGGCCGTGCACCAGGGTTCCCTCAGCCTCCTTGACATCGTCCTCCCTGCAGGGCAAGTCCAAGACTCCGGGGAAGAGCATGTCCCAGTGTCACCCTACGACCGCGTGTCCACAGGTTCTTCCAGTAAATGTTATGCGCCCACCTCCCCCCTGCTTCTCTTCTGATCTTCTCACCCAGCTCACTTCCTGAGTTTCTCAGCCATAGAATTTCCACATGAACCCTCCCATTTTTTCCCCGAATCTGATCATTTTGTCTGTGATGTTCTTCATCAAATGGAAGTTTCTCTTTTATGGTTTATGGCCTTGAGTTTTGTTTTGTTTTGTTTTGACTTGAAAGAGAGAGAGAGAAGGAGAGCAGGGGAGAGGGGCAGAGGGAGAGAGAGAATCCCAAGCAGGTTCCACAATCAGCACAGATCCTGACACAAGGCTCAAACCCATGAACCATGAAATCATAACCTGGGCCGAAATCAAGAGTCAGATGCTTAACCGACTGAGCCACCCAGGTGCCCCTGTGGTCTTGAGTTTTAAAAGATTTCCTCATGGGGCACCTGGGCGGCTCAGTCGGTTGAGCATCTGACTCTTGATTTCGGCTCAGGTCGTGATCTCATGGTTTGTGAGTTTGAGCCCCCACATCGGGCTCTCTGCACTGACAGTGCAGAGCCTGCTTGGGATTCTGTCTCTCCCTCTCTCTCTGCCCCTCCTTGTTCGTACTCTCTCTCTCTCAAAATAAATAAAGAAACATTAGAAACATTTAAAAAGTAAACATAAAAGATTTCCTGACCTGCAGTCATAGATGCACATTGTTCCTCTGTGACTTCTGTGTTTGCTTATTTTTCACAATTAGGTTCTAATTCTGACTAGAGTTACTTTGACAGTGACATAAGACAGGGACCCAACATCCCTTAAATCTCCAGGTGGTGAGCCAGGCTTCTGTCCTATGGATGCGCCTTGAGTTAACGTTCTCGGTGCTCTGTGTCCCTTGTTTTTCTCGAGAGTCTGCCCTGTCCTGTTGAGCGGACTGTTTAGTCCTGATACGAGTACCACATCTCGTGGTCACTCTGGCTTTGAAACGGTCTTAACATGTGGCAGTGTAAGTCCTTCCTCTTGCAACTCCTATTAGCATTCTCTTTTTAAGCTGTTCTCGGACCTCTATTCCTCTTTGCTGTGGTTTTGGAGTCCGTTTATCCCCCCACCGAAAACGCGTGCTGGGATTTTGGTAGGACCGGTGTTGAGTTCACGGATTAATTTCAGGGAGAGCTGACGGTTTTCAGCATTAAATCATCACATCCGCGAACATGGCATGAGTCTCTACTTACTTAGTTTTAAGCTGTCCCTTGTCAGAATTTAAAAACTCTCTCTGGAAAGTTGTTGTGTTTCCTTTGTTTGGTTACTCCCTGGAGTGTCTGGTTTGAATTCTTGGCCCAAGCGGTGTGTGATTTTGGCCACGTTTTCTCAACAGTGACTGCTGCAGGGAGAGGAATGTGGTATGATCTTGTGCCCAGAAATCTTGCTGATGGCAGCGGTGTTACCGGAACGGCGGTCAGGCCGTGGCACACATGGACAGTCGCGTCTCCTGCCTTCCGGTTTCTGACCCCGTGGCACGCTCACCGGGGCGCCCTGGAGCGTTCACCAGGAGAGGGCGCCCTCGTCTCGTCCCCAGCCTGAAAGGGGATGTTGGCGGGTTTTGTTCTACTGAGGGTGACGTAAGCTCTGGGGGATTGTCTTCATCAGCCGAAGAGAGGACTTCGTTCTCTGATTCATTCAGTTGCTCAACAGCTGTGCACCAAGTGACTGCTAAATCTGGGCCCTACTTTTGACACCTGGGATACGTCCGTGAGCAGGTTTAAGAGGACAGTTTCTGCTTGTGTGGAATTCATAGAAATTAGTTACCGGATTGCTTTTGTCATGGATGGGTATTGGATTTTGTCAAATGCTGCTTCAGCATCAGCTGAAATAGTACAATAATCATGGGGGTTTTTTTCTGGAGTCTGTTAACGTGGGGAGGGGGCAGTTACACAGGCAGATCCTTCTGACGCTGCGTCCTGGCACATGCCCTGCTTGGTCCTGACGCAGCCGTCACGGACCGCGTTGCGGGATTTGGGCACCCGACACTTCCTCTTGGGTGTTTCTGGCTGCCCTTCACCCGTGGGGTCGGTCTTCGTTGCCTTGGCTGCTTTTGCTTGTGTATGCTGGTCTGGTTTGGGGGCCAGGGGTATAGTCACCTTATAACAAGCTAGGGTGGCTGCAAATCAGAGAGGCCGTCCCTCTTCGTATGTCACATAGAGTGTCCTGGAGAGCCCCTGTTTCTGCACCACGATTCGTTGTGACCTTCAAGGCCTTGTCACACACAAGCACTCATTTATTTGTTCGTTGGTTCGCTGACTGGTTCCCCGCACTGCCCTGTCATCCCTGTGAGGGTGGCAGCCTTAGTCACTGCATTACGTCCAGTACGTAGAATAGTGCCAGGCACATAGTAGGTGTTTTACGAGCACGTGATGGCGCCGATCGACCTCGGGCTTTTACGGGAGCCGAGGGCCCCCGCAGGCCACGTGGGAGCTGAGGGTCCCCTGCTGCTACAGATGCCTCATCACAGATAGGCGTCTCTAAACAGAATCAGCCCAGAGAGGTTTCCCTTTGCAAGGGCTGCTACTAATCCATCTGTTGTTTTCTGAGACAAAATAGGAAAGAAAACACCTGAGCAAGGCTAAGAGAATGCGAAGATTTCAGTTGCAACATTTAGGTATTGTTGAGAAAAGAGAAGTTAACAGTTTAGCTACGTTACGCCATCTCATAGAGCAAAGACGGTTAATGGGTCATATACTCAGTCCTTGTAGACAAAGGATTGATTGATGATTACGAAACGACACGTATTGGGGTGTCTGGGGGGCTCAGTCGGTTAAGCATCTGACTCTTGTTCCAGTCACGATCTCATAGTCAAGGGATCGAGCCCCACATCAGGCTCAGCACTGAGCATGAAGCCCGCTTGGGATTCTCTCTTTCTCTCTCTGTCCCTCCCCTTGCATCACTCTCTCTCTCTCTCTCTCTCTCACTCTCTCTCTCTCTCTTTCTCTCTCAAAAAAGGACATGTAGTACTACTACTAATATATTCTGCATTCCCAAACCAGTATCAACGTAACGTGTAGGGACACCCGGGTGGCTCAGTTGGTGGAGCACCTGTCGCTTCATCTCAGGGCTGTGAGTTCAAGCCCCACCTTGGGTGTGGAGCCTACTTACAAACATTTTTTTTTTTAAGATAATTTGGAAGGTGGGAGGGAAGGAAGCTAAAGGAATGTGGTTGAAGCAGGTGTTCTTGTAGGCCACGACCCCAGCTGTGCTGTCTACAAGACTTTAATTTCTAAGGGGAAATCTGGCACCTCAGAGAAAATCAGTCGCACCAACTAATAAGTGTTCTTTGGGGAGGCTTTTTGCTAGATCTGATGATCTAATTTAATTGATCCAGTGGAGGAGAGCTTCAGCTGAGAAAGACTTAATTACGAATGTAATGTCACTTCCTTGCTGTTAGGACACCAAAATAGACGATGAACACATTCTCTTCAATATTTATTCATCTGATTTTCATGGTAATTGGTTGGTCTCTGACTATAAAGGGGGAAACTTGGCAGAACAGATTACTCGGAGAAATAAGGATGCAAAACAGTTCTGAGGCTATATTTACTGCAGTGTACGAACCTGCGTGCCTTCCCACTGCACACTGATCGTGCAAGACGAGG